CTTCAAAGGCCCATTTGTTTCTCAGCAAGGTCCCATTCATTAGTACCAGGAATGAGACTTGAACATTTCTTTCTGGGGGTACACACTTTAATCCATAGCAAGTCTTAAGGAAAGCCTAATGCTTATTAATGGAGCCCTGGTAGTGTAATGCTTACGCATTGGGCTGCAATCTGCCTGGTCAGCAGTTCAAAACCACCAGCAGCTCCATGGGAGAAAGACGGGGCTTTCTAGTCTCATAAACAGTTACGGTTTCGGAAACCCAGATGGGGTGCCTCTGAGTCAGCATTGACTTGACGGCAGCGAGAATGCTCATTACGCTTTTGAGGGAGACAAAAGGCCTAGTTCTGCAAGGGCAGCACCCTTTCTTCCCTGATCGCCTACCACACGTACTTTCAAGGAAACGCTCTGGTTACCCTGCCTGAGCCCAAGACATTCCAGGGCTCCAGCCCCAACCGCGGACCAGCATCTCCAACAGTGGGGCCTGAGAGCCGATGACGTCGTGACACCCAGGTTGAGGACCCTGGTTGGATAGTTAAGACCTGGCTCCTGAGATGAGAGTGAGAGAAAATGTGTCCACCTCATTACCTCCGAGTAGATTCGACCTCAAATGACCTTTACAGGACAAGAAAGGAGCAGTGCCGATTTCATGTAGCACGGAAAATAAAAATCCGGACCACGATTTAGTCTTTCTTTGCAAAAAGTTGACCTAGAAGTGGAAAAAGAAGAAAAGAAACCAGTTTTGTGAAGACTAGATAGATAGGCGAGATAAGTGCCACCGTGGGTTTTGGAGTGGGCTCTAGCCACAGGATTGGTGGTTCAAATCCATCAGCCACTCTTCAAGAGAATGACGAGCCTTTCTACTCCCAGAAAGAGTTACCCACAGTTACCTACAGTTCTGCCCTGCCCGGAAAGTTTGCTCGGAGCCAGAATTGGCTTAATGGCAGTGTGTTTGCGTTTTCAGACGAGTTAGATCTCGAGGGGATGCAAATATTCTGGAATTAGGTCGTGGTGATAATTGTGCAACATAGTGCATCTATTACAAACAAACAGAATCATAGAATTCTATACTTTAAAATGGTGCGTCTCTTGTCATATGAATTATGGATCCATATAAAAGAGTAGAGAGAGAAAGATTTAGCTTAATCAAGAGGAAGAACCTTCTGGTAAAAGCAGCAGCTAACACTGAGCACTTAGCAGGTGCCATGGGGTAAGAAATCAAGGCTGTGGTTAATACCTTCGGGAAGCAGATAAAAGAGCTCAGATGCACTCACATGAAGCCCTAGGAGGAAGGCAGGATGCAGTATTTCATCCAGTCTAGACTCTGGGCTTCGGAGATGCGTCCCGAGTGGGCCCTGGGGATGCGATGGGGCCGATGGAGGTGGCCTGGAAAGGTTCACGTGTCTGCCTCACAGGTGTGGGCTCGAAAAGTCAGCCTTGTGGGAGGCGGCTGTAAAGGCCTAGCTGTCCTTCTACAGCGGCGACTTTTGTCTTTTCCTCCACTGCGATCTGTCTGAAATGCAGTTTACACCATCGCCCGGCACGTGCATACATACATATAACAAACACAGTCCATTTAATTCCCGTTGAACCTCGCTGGATATTAGGCATCGGCTCCACCCCTCCTCCTCCTCCCTCTCTCCCTTCTTCCCTCTGAGTATTAGCTGTAACTCAACCAAACTCACTGCCCCCAAGTTGATGCCGACTCATAGCGACCCTATAGGGCAGGGTAGAACCACCCTTGTGTGTTTCTGAGACCGACTGTTTACAGGAGTAGAAAGCCCCATCTTTTAGCCACAGGGCAGCTGGTTTTGCACTGCTGACCTTGCGGATCAAAGCCAACATGGGCAGGGCTCCTGATAACCCACAAAGGAGTTGATGAGACTGCTCTGAGGGGCCCAGGGCCCAATGGGGAGGCAGAGCTAAGCCTGTCTTCTGCCGGTAGCAGTAGTTAGAGGAAAGCGTTTCATGGGTAAAGGTAGGCGGTAACATCATTAATCAGATGGGAATCCCCGGAAGTCTGCAGTGATTCTGGAATAATCAATTACTTCGGAATATATGGCCATTTTTCAAACTACCTTTTCTGACTGGCCCTTCCTTTGGATAGTGGATTGAACAAGTGTTAGATACATATTCTTCATTTCATCGAAGTACCACTCAGCCAGAGAAGGGGTATGAGGATCATTTGCTTCTGGATTTTTCAAGAACAGTGGCATTTAGATGAAGCATCGGTTTTGTCTCCTCTCTGGATTGGCCACGGAATTTCTCATAGAGGCTAAAGTACGTGATAGACCATTATATGGCAGTGGTAGAGAGCGTCTCCCAGCGCAGGATCAGAAGAGGAAGGCATTGAGCTTTGGAAGCTGAGCTTCTCAGAGGGATCTGCAGTGGCTAGTTGTGCGTGTTGTTACCAGTTGTCACCGAGCTGCTTCCAGCTCCTGGTGACTCCACGTGCACTGGGCAGAAGTGCCCCTGGTGGTTTTTTAAGAAGCACCTCAGCAGGATTGCTTTGGGAGATCTCTTCTCTAGCTGAGTTTGAACTGGTAACCTTTGTCTGCGAGTTGAGGCTTAACTGTTCGGTCACACCATCGAGAGGACACCTAGTTGTACGTCCCAGAACTTATTACAGCTCTGAGCACTATCCGCCCTCTGGGCCAGAGAAGGCTGTGTACTTATCAGCGCCCTGCTCCTGCTGGCCAGTACTGTCCTCAGGAAGAGAGGAACCCTGCATGTACAGGCTCTGGAGTCTACAGCAGAGACCTCCAGCTTTTAGGGCCCTGTGAGAACTTTCAGGCAAACCTCTTTGCGCCCATTTTCCCAAGAGACCTGCTGAAGGGGGTGTGGGGGGTGCAGATGACTTCTTAAGTATATGGGTGTGTGAAGAGCCCTGCCCTCGTCACTTCATCCGGCTCTGAGAGAGGCTCACACAGGAGGGGAGCATTGTAGACCTCATGAATCAGGCCGCTGCCCTTGTCTTCCAGAGTGAGGGGATGGGGGAAGGCTCTTTCTTGCTAAATCCTTAGAACTGCCATTTGATAGAGAGCTGCCTGTACTTCATTGAAGGAAAGTCCTGCAGTGGGATTTGTCTCTGTCCCAGAGTTCCATGCTTCACAGTGCCAAGAGGACAATCCCTCTGTGCTCAGCTGCTTTCAGCCACGTCCTCCGAGATTGAGCCTCCTTTGGATCTTCCCAACCCAGTTGTCATTTGGTCCGTCTTAGTCAGGGAAGCATTTGCAGAGGCTGAAGCATTGTGTCGTTCAGGGGCCTGTAAGAGGGAGCCCTTCGTCTTTGATGTGCTTCGTTCCGTCAGCTTCATCCTTGTAAGCAGAGTTGAGGATGAAGTCTTTCCTGGATGATCTGTCTTGAGCTTTGGGGAGATTTCACGGTGGCCATCCCAGTCCAAGGTCTCAGGGGATTGAGGCTGAGCTGTGGGAGTCATAGCATCGACGTGTCAGTCTGAACGGAGTTCTGAACGTCAAATCCTTGCCCAGTTGAGAAAGGACCCAGGTGCCACAGGGGTGAAGCATTGGGCGGCTTAGTCAGAAGGTCGGCAGTTCAAACCCACCAGCTGCTCTGCAAGAGAAAGACATGGCATTCTGAGTCTGTATAAACGGACAGCCTGGAAATCTCACGGAGCCATTCTGCTCTGCCCTGCAGGGTTTCTGTGACCCGGGGAATCAACTCTAAGTCAATAGACTTGATTAATTTAGAGGCTAAATGGCTGGTTTTCTTCCCATGTCCTGAGTCCTAAGAAATAGGTCTGCCGGAGTCCTGAAACTCTCAAGAGCTGCAGGCTTCTTGGCTCCCCGGGCCCCTGGGCAGCTCTGCTGTGAACCTGGTTGGCCTGTGGGCGGTTCTCGGGGGCCTGGTCTCTAGTCTGTGGCTGGAAGGGGGACTAGGATTTCTGATGGAATGAAAGTGCATTCCTAAGACCCTGGAAACTTGTCATCTGGTAAACATCCCTCCATTTAGCCTTTAAATCTCTAGTGTCTCTATTGCCTGCCTCTCTGTCGTGGTCCGGGGCAAAGCTTTTAATGTGAAACACCTCTAGGCTCTTATCTTCAGGCAAGAGGAGAGTTGAGAGACTGGTCTGTGGGAAGCTTTGGGGAAGGAGGGAGAGAGACATTCCCCAGAGCTGAAGGGCCGAGGCCAGGGAGTAGTAGACATCATCTCAAGGGAGGGCTGTGAACTTTGGTGTGTCCCAGGATCTTTTCTCAAACCACCACCACCCCCCACCCCACCCCGCCCCGCAACCTACCCCATTAATCCTTTGTGCAGCTCAAACCATCAGAACTCAAAACTGACTGCCATCGGGTCAATTCCAGCTCATAGTGTAATGGGCTGTATACTGAGCTGTGAATCACAAGATCAGTGGTTTGAACCCACCAGCTGCTGTATGCGAGAAAGATGAGGCTGTCTATCTGCGCCTGTAAACATTTACAGTCTTGGAACCCCAAAGGAGGAGCTCTACTCTGCGCTCGAATGTCTGTGAGAAAAGCCCTAATGCCCTGATTTCATACTCTCATTCCTCAGCTCCTGAACCTTCGTGGCTCCCTTCTCCCCAGCTGCTCTTTTGGAAGCTTTGCGTTACTGTTGCTTTACCAGATCGTGGTGCTGGGTTGGGCTTGCGGTGCTGAAGGCTTGCGGGGCTGAAGGTGCTCAAAGCTGGTTGATGTTTAATAGCTTGTTCAGGAAGACTCCTTCTTCAGGGTACATGTTTGGAGTTCGTGTTGTAGAAGGATAACAACTTCAAAACCAGTACACGGCCCAAAAATCAGGGCTCAGGAAGCAGGCAGGAAAGAGTGGGCAACAAAGCAGCCAAAAGAGGAGTGTATGTAAGACCTCAACTCACCTCTAGCTGTTGGGCAGTTTCGGCAATGTAGAGTGAGCTGCGGACAAGGTCAAAGGCCAAAGTTCCGAGGAGTCAGTTGTCTGGTCAGGCTAAAAATAAGCTAATGTGTAAACTGGTCTCAGAGGCCTTTCTATCTACCCAACCTCTCTGAGCAGAAGTGACTGTATAGTGGCCCGCCACTGCTTCATTGAGCTGTGAATGTTTTCTTTGGGGAAGCCGGCCTTTTTGGGTGCTGCAATGATGAAGGGAAAGGTATCTGTAAAGTTGCCTGTTTTTAGGGGCAGGTTTTTATTTGGGCAAGGGGAGGGTTGGGAGCTGGGGGCGGGGTGGGGGGGTGGTGCTGAGGTTGTCCTGCAGGATGTCTGTGGCTGCCAGTGTTCATCGGCTCTGTGTCTCCTCTTTGCTCCGTAGGTCAATGAATGGAACAAGAATGATGACCGGCTGCTGCAGGCTGTGGAGAATGGAGACGCAGAGAAGGTGGCCTCGTTGCTCAGCAAGAAGGGGGCCAGTGCCACCAAGCAGGATAGCGAGGGCAAGACCGCGTAAGCTGCACAATGTGGTTTCTCAGTGTGTTAGCTCTGGGCTTTCCCCATCATCTCTGGAATCCTTAGTATGCATAGGATTTCACCAGTATTTGTGGGACCTTTGAGAAAGCACAGGTGGTCCCTGACCTATGATCTACTGGAGCTATAATGAACCATACTTAGAACTGTCTTTTTGTTGTTGTTGTACATCTTCTTATCAGTAGTATGTACTTAGTGTGCTATTATCTAACTCATAACAACCCCGTCTACAACAGAACAACCCCTGCCTGCTTCTGTGCCATCCTCATCGTCATTCCCGTGTTGAGCCCCTGTGGCAATCCAGCTCATTGGGGTCGTCCTCCTTTTAGCCGCCCCTCTGCTGTCCCGGCGTGATGCTTCTCCAGGCTCTGCTCCTTTCCGATAACGTGTCCAGAGTGTGTGAGATGAGGTCCTGCCCTCCTCACTTCTGAGGAGCATTCTGGCTTATTCTTGGTGTTCAGCCTGACTCTTTGCCTGTGACTATTCCTTTCTCTGTCCCCAGAATGACTTCCGTATCCTTGACCTTGGAGGGCTTGCCAACAGTATGTTGCACTGTTTTTGCTGTGGTGGTGGTGGTTTGGGGGAGGGTGGCGGTATCTGTCCTGTGTAGGGCTCTCTCGGCTTCCTGGGCAGTTGTTTTCTCATCTTGTATGCAGGTAGGACATTTTTCTTCCTGGAGTTCTTGTCTGTGGGGTTTTGGATTTCTTCCAGTTTGGAATCCCGAGGAGGCACAGGTTATTCCTCTTGATAATTGTCCCACGTAAGTCTTAACCATGTTTCAGACTCCTGAAGAAATGTTGTTGCTTTTTCTTCTTGTAGATTGGGGTTCAAGGATTCACGGTTGAGCTCGCAAATGCATTGTTCTGTTTTTGCTAGGTCTGTCAGGTCAGTCCCCACCCATGACGACCCTGTGCGCAAGACAGCAAACCACTGCCTAGTCTGACAGTTGTTCTTACCCGGGAGCCAGTTGGGTTGGCCACGATGTCAACCCATCTGGTCAAGAACCCTCTTGTTTGCTGCTCCTCAGCTTTTGAAAGCACAAGGTCCTTCTCCAGGGACTGGTCTGTCCTGACAACATGTCCAAAGTGCGTGAGACAAGTCTCGCCATCCTTGCCTCTAAGGCGCGTTCTTGCTGCACTTCTTCCAAGTCAGTTCGTTTGGCAGTCCTTTCCGTTATCTTTACCAGCACAGTAATTCCAATGCGGTGACTCTTCTTCGGTCTTCCTTATGCCGTGTCCAACTTTCACATGCACGTGAGGTGATGGAAAATATTACGTCCAGGCTCAGGCGCCCTTTAAGTCTTCGAAGTAACGTCCTTGCCGTTTCAACACCTTCTTATAATATTGCTTCTCTGATGATCTGCTCAGCATACAGATTGAACAAGTGTGGTGAGAGGACACAACCTTGAGCCACGCCTTTTCTGATTGTAAGCCATGCAGTGTCCCCTTGTTCTGTGTCCATAACTGCCTCGTGATCCCTGTACAAATTCTGAATGAACACAATGAAGTACTTTGAAATTCCCATTTTTCCCCAAGCTATCCATAGATTGTTAGGAACCACACAGTTGAATGCCTTTGCATAGTCAGTAGTATACAAGTAAGCATCTTTCTGGTATTCTCTACTTTGAGCCAAGATCCAGCTGATATCAGTAATGAGATCCCTTATTCCACATCTCCTGAATCCAGCCAGTACCTCTGGCAGCTCCCTGACAATGGACTGCTGCAATCATTGTTGGACGATCTTCGGCAAAATTGTACTTATATATGATATCAATGATATTCTATAATGTGAACATTCCGTTTGGTCACCTTACTTTGGAATGAGTACAAATACGGAGGATCACTTCCAGTCGGTTGGTCAAGTAGCTGTCTTCCAAATTTCCTGGCCTAGACCAGTGAGGGCTTCCAGGGCCTCATCAGCTTGTTGAAACATTTCATTTGACATTCCATCAATTCCTGGAGCCTTGTTTTTGGCTAATGCTTTCAGTGCAGCTTCGACTCCTTCCTTCAGTGCCTTTGGTTCTTGCTCATATGCTACCTCTTGACACCGGGACGGTTGACTAGTGCTTTTTGGTACAGCGACTCTGTGTGTTCTTTCCATCTTCTTTTGATGCTTCCTGCATCATTCAGAATTTACCCATAGAATCTTTCAAAGTATTGCAAATGGAGGCTCGAATTGTTTATTGGATTCTTAGATTATTGATGCCCAATAATTCTGGCAAGTCCTGCATTAGAAACACCCAGTGGTTTGGTTTTGTTGCTGTTGTTGCTTATAATACTGATTCCATGCTGAATGTAGTCAGTCCTGTGTTGAGCTGCTAACCACAAGGTCATCGGTTCAAAACCACCAGCCACTTCACAGGAGAAAGATGGTGCTTTCTATACCTGTAACGAGTTACAGTCTCGGAAACCCACATTGTGGGCAGTTCTGCCCTGCCCTCGCTTCGCTAAGAGTCAGAATTAAGTCCAAGGCAATGAGTTTAGTAGAGTTTCATTCCCTACGAAGCATTTGGCCTTGAGAGAGTCCAAGGAATCATTACTTTTAAAGTGCCGCGTGGAGCTCAGCTATAACAGAGGACTGACCCAGATGGATGAATAGCCCTACTCTCCCAGCCTTCCCTGCCCCTCGGTGCCACCGAGTCCATTCAGATTCGTGCTGGCCCGATATAGAAGGGGTGGGAAACCGTTTCGTCTTCCAAGGTCCAATTGGATGTGTATAGCATAATTCATGGGACATACAAATCTACCACCTCTCTCTCTCTCTCCATATATGTATATTTATACATATGTATAAAATTAGCCTGCTGTATTTAGTCAAACATTGAATTGTCCCTGTGAATGCTGGGGCTGCTTCTCGTTGGTGAAGCATGTCATGGTTGTGAGCTGGTATTGAGGAGTTCTCGACTGATACACCCTTGTTCTACAGCGTTTCCAAGACTACATTTGTATGGGAGCAGAGAGCCTTCTCTTTCCCCTGGAGAGTGTCAGGTATCGGACTGTCAGCTTTGTGTTCAGCAGCCTGATGCCTAACTCACAGTGCCACCAGAGCTCCTTAGGGACTACAGAGTGGAAGATAACAGGATCAAAGGCAGATGTCTCATCCAAGGGATAAGAAAAGTAGGGTGTCGTCCCACAGTCATCAGGAGATCCATGGTTGACCTTGTAGCAAATGATGCTGATGAAACCGTGTTCACACCACCAAGTGGATGCCATATGTCAGACACATCCCCTCGTGTTTGGGGAACCTCACGCTGGCTTCCTGGCATGGAGTTTGGTCTAGAAGCCAGGCTGGTTGTAATATAAAGGGAAGAAAGAGGTAAATTTCCCCCATCAGATCAGAAGCTGGCCATCTATGATGCTGGGTCACCCTCTGCCAAAACCTCCGGGCCTAGCCTTCTCCTCATCAGCTTCGGTTTGACTTTCTACTGTCTCTCA